AGCTTATTCTGTTCAAACTCTCCGTCAATTTTTATCTTCTCCTACTAATACTCATATGGCTGCAGCTCATAGAGTACTTAGGTATCTTAAAAGCTCTTCAGGTAAAGGCCTCTTTTACCCTTCTAATTCTTCTTTTAATATTCAAGCGTATACAGATTCTGATTGGGGATCCTGTGTTGATACTAGGAGAAGTATTTTGTTTTTATCTTGGGGATTCCTTAATTTCTTGGAAATCCAAGAAACAATCTGTCATCAGTAGATCTTCTACTGAAGCAGAATACAGGGCAGTTGCAAATGCAGTTTGTGAGGCCCAATGGATTGTTTATATTCTTCATGATTTACAAATTAAAATTTTTTTACCCATAACATTGTACACTGATAACAAATCTACATATCATTTAGCATAGATTCCTGTTCAACATCAAAGAACTAAACATATAGAACTAGATTGTCATTTAATTAGGGAAAAGATCAATTCTGGTCTTATAAAACTTGTACATATTTCTAATACTTATCAACCTGCAGATATTTACACAAAACCACTTGGAAATCCTCTCTTCAAACAGTTTGCAGACAAGATGAACATGCAGGACATCCATGATCATCTTGAGGGGGCGTCTTAAGAATAAAGATATGAATTATTTATATTTTGGGCCTAATGGACTGTTTCTTTACTTTCAGGCCTGTTAGCCCTTTTGTATAAATACTCTCCATTACATTCTGTAAACATTAAGGGTTTTACATCTTCTCATTTGAGCTCTCGATCAATTTCTTCCGCAATCTCTCTGCAATTCGTATAAGATTTTACAATATATTTAAGAGGAAATTGCATTGCTATGACTAAAGCTTAGCACTTCTTCAAAAACATGAAAATATGTCTAGTTTCCCCCTACAATAGGACTAAAACTAGGGATGGCAACGGGGCGGTTCGGGGTCGGGTAATAGTGTGGGTAACCGTATCCAAATTAAACGGGGCAGGTAACAGGGCAGGTAGGTATAAACCCATAACCGCCCCATTACCCGTTTACATAAATCAGGTATTCCCCGTCCCGTACCCGTACCCAGTCAAAGCGGTTTTTCTCATTTTGACTGGTTCGGTTCAGTGCGGGTATACACCAGGTCAGGTTAAACTGACATCCCTAACTAAAACTTACCTTTCTACTAATTTAATGATTAATTAATTTCCCTCCAAATTCTCTTACATAACCCGGGTCAGTCCGTTGGTGGCGAGTCAATCGAGTGATAGCGGCAACTCGGGGTGACGATGAATTCTGGCGGCAGAGACCAAATTCTGGAAAATCAGCTGTGAAATTTTGGAAAAAAATATCTGGGGTCGGCGGAAGGCAGACTGGCGGTCCTGCAATTGGGGACAGTTCTCCATCCCTATGAGACTATTTTGGTCCAATCACAAATAAAAACATCTTTTTATGGCACTTTAAACTAATTGATCCTATTTTAGAAAAATGACATTGTTTTTATCCTATTTAGGTCAATCTTCCTTTAAAAACACTCAAATTTTATTTCAAGTGACCCACTCAATCAACCATTATAACTGTGAATAATTAGTCTCACATTGTTTTAACTTTTAGTCATTCATTAAGTTCTAAGCTAAGTCCACATAAATCTGACCTTGAACATTAGAGTAAGGATAAACATAAAGTAACCTTGAACAAGTGTAAGAAGCTACATAAAGGTGGTGGGGGTTGGCTTTGTGTCCATAACAAAAAGATGTATTTCGTTAGAGTGCTTATTGGCTACGAATTATGTAGTTAAGAGTGTTTCTACTAGGGGTGCAAATGAGGCGAGTCACTCGTGAGCCGCTCGTTAGCTGCTCGGTCAAAGCTCGAATCGAGTTCCATCAAACTCGAGCTCGAGTCGATCTCGAGCCGGCTCGTTAAGCAGTCAAGCCATAAACGAACCTACTAATTTTAGGCTCGCTAGCTCGCGGGGCGGCTCGCGAGCCTAGTTTTATATGTGTGTATATTAAGCTCGAGCTCGAGCCTACATAAACTCGGGCTCGGCTCGGCTCGGCTCATTTGCACCCCTAATTTTTACGGCATTAATATGGGAATGGTGGATCAAGACTACACTAGTACCAAAGTGAAGAGTTTGAGTGACAAATTGGGAGAAAGTTTCTAAAATGTGCACGAGTGAGGACAAACTATATTGTAAAGATTCGTATTGTTTTGTAGTAATAACGAGGAGTTATCACCTAGACTCCTAGGGTCTCACGAGTCACGATTATAAACGATACCATAGCAAGACTAACACATGATGTTGATTAACAGGCAATTTACATTCCTAAGTGAGAGTGATTGTGTTACACGAAAAAAGTTTTTGACCACAGTAAGATGAGAAGTGTGAATGAGAGTTAGAGAGAAATGAAAAGAAGATGGATTAAGAGCAACAGGGTTACATGGAACCCAATCCTTGAAAAAAGTGGGATGTTATGTACTGGTTCAGCTCGAGTAGTTTAAAAATAGTACTACCTCCGTTCCTTTTTAAGTTTTAGTTTAATAATATACATATCCTCTAATGTAACTCTATGGTTTTAGATATTTTTAAGCTTTTATCCCAAATACTTATTCCACATAACATTTCAGATTGTGAATTGTAAAATTCAGACCGAGTCAGTATATTAGTTCAAACAACAACTTTGAATCTTAAGATAACTTTTTTAAGAGTACGACACAAACATACTTTTATACTCCCTCCGTCCTTAAATAAAGTTCTCACTTTTCTTTTATGGATATCCTTAAATAAATTACTCTTTCTCTATTTGATAAATAAATTAATATCAATTTACTCTATAAATCTTAAATAATATTGATTGTACGGTGCAAAAATGTTTTAAACTGTGTCAAAACATTATACTCCACTGATGAGCAATTTTCACTGATACTCATCGGGTGTCGGGATATGAAAGTCATGGATATCATCTCACGGGCGGTGTATATGAAAAATCAAGTGTGAAATCGATCTAGGAATCTAAAATGTAAGCTTGCCAAATCGATGTATGTTTGCTAGAAGAGAACAACTAAATAGCAATGAAAATAGATAAGTGATCAAACTAGTAGGGAAACGGGGGCATATAAAGAACAACTTATGATTGAGGATAAGGGGTCAAAATGGGGATGCTACCTTGAGAAGGTATTCATGCAACAAAGGATATATAGATACAAGTTCCCTCACCACTCTCATGGTCAAGGGATTACTAAGGGTTCCTATTGAATTGGTTACTCTCATGGTCTAATAGTATTCAAATTCATGCAAAAAGGCCAACCAACAAATTCCCCCCCTATCTTCTCCCATTTTCATGCAGAGGAGGTAGTGTGTGTGTGTGTGTGAAAGTGTCAAAGGGAACCCTACAAGTCTCCGTGAGGGTCCAAAACAACATTTAAGAACATTGTAGCCATCAAAGTCTTAGAAATTTCAAGACGCATTTTCACAAACACATAAACCCCAAATTAAACCCCAAAACCGGTCACATCACATAGTTGAGTGATTCGCAAGCATCCCCAATCCCTAATCCTACTACTCATGCATGCTAGATTTCATATTCATATAAGAAATATAAGACATGGACACGAAGTGAGATAAATGGATAAGTTGGTAAGTAGATGATGATAATGCTATCTAATGAATTAAATGAAAACTAAAATCAAGAGTGCATGTGAATATTAGTAGGAAATGAAGTACAAAAGAGTTAAAGGATGCTTACAATCAAAACTAGGATTTGCAAGAAGAAATCTTGTCCAAAACTGTGGAATTCGTAACAAAGGATTGTATTTACACAAGGGAAAAATCGAGGGAACGCCTTCCCTTTTGAGGAACGCCGATAAGAATGCTGGTAGGAACGTCGTTCCTCCTCGGTTTTCTACCTTATCACGAACAATAGTTACCAGGCAAAGATTTCAACGGTGGGAGAAACGGTGATGGGTATGTCATTCCGGCAAGAACGTCGGAAGGAACGTCGTTCCTTGTCAACTTTCCTATGTCTGGCAATTTGAAACGCAAAATTCGAGAGGACGAAATGAGGAACGCCAAAAAGAACAACTTCCCCTCCTATGGGTGGTTCTTTATGCTCCTCTTTTGTTTCTTGCTTCTTTATGCTCCGCTTATTCTCCTGAAAGTCCTTCAAATGCCTATTCTCACCAATGGTTGATGTGCAATTTAAGTTTGGACGTTCAGTGCTTTTATACAATTTAAAATTTAAAAGAGTAATAAATAATTATATTAAATTTACGCATATATGTCTACATGTTTTCTAAAATTTTAGATGTTCATGTGAACCCCTTTGAACAAGACTGGCTCGGCCACTGATTCTCACCCCCCAATGATCCTCGAATGGTTCCTACAAATCAAAGTGTTGCAAAGGCAAAGAGGAAACAAAGGATAAATACTACATGGGACCATCAAAAAATCTTGATGTACTACCGAGTATGTATCTGCTACAACTTTTAGCATTGATCCATTAACTATTGGAGGTCCTACTGCATGCTTTGAGTTGTATTGTATGTCGTTTTATTATATGTTACTACCTCCGTCCCACTGGAAGGATCCCGTCCACTATTCACATGGTCAACTTAAATCATTTTTAATCTTTTAATTTATAAATCATTTTTTATCAAATTTACATTTTTTTATTAGACTTTGTAGCGGTTTTAATGTAAGTTCTGAATATGTTAATTTTATTTACTAAAAATAATCGGAGTATGAACATGAATTATGTTAAGTTGTTTTATCGTCAGTCAAGCATCGTAAATCGTTCACGGGAACCTTCTAACGGGAGTATATGTTATATGTCATGAATTACGTTATCTCCCAAAATAAATAATAGTCGGTACATAATATCGCGTCATTGGATCAAATAATACAATGATACCGTGTAGGCCCCGTAGGCAGGGCATTCAAGATTTTTTAATTCTCGAACACCAATATTTGACGAATTATATCATTTGTTTCCAATATAGAAAAGGAAAGAACATTTTCCCTCTTTCCGACTATTCTCCTTCACCTCTTCCTATATAAAGGCCGCAAGAATTGAGCAAAATATACTCAAACCTCTCTACTTTTCCAATCTGATCTTAGATTTTCCCTCTGTTTAAAAATTTTCCCACCATACAAAAGACACATAAATAACATGTATAAGGTAATTAAGGAAGACCTAATTGCAGAGTTCCAGGAATCCTTCAATTTCTTTGACAAAGATGGTGACGGTTTGTGCCTAAACTAACCTTGTATTTCTGGTGTTTTCATTTCTGTATTTAGGGCATATTTGGTTTTCTTTATTATTTTACAGAAAAAGTTTTTTCTCCCAAAGATATCATAAACTGTGTGTATTTTATATGGGGATCCAACAGAGGCAGGGGTCCCCTGCCCCTCCTCAAACCCCACCCTCACCCCACTCTATGTATTTACAGACATCTATGTCGTCATTATGTTAGTTTTATATTTAGTACTCTTTAGTATAGTAGCATTAGAATTTTGAGAAAAAATCTTAGGAATTGGGGTAAAACTTTGCAAATTTTCCGAGAAGTTACATTATTGTGATTCATACAATTCTAATTAGAGAATTTTTTATTCTTTAAATAAGACTAATTAAGTATCATTTTAGGAGGAAAATATAACTGGTCATGTTTTAAAATTGTGTCTATGGTTTTCTTCTATTTGAGAAATTTCTATAAATATTTTCATGATGTGATGTAAAGAATGAGGCATCCAAGCTCTCCTAGCCTAAGATAATTTTATATTTTTGTTTCCTTCTGAAAGCTTTGAAGTTTAAAGTGATCAAGAAAACTAATTTAACATATTGTTTGTGAAATATTTACATTTCAATTTAAAGTGATGAAGTTTATCAATGCATGCATAGTTGCATTGTTGCACATTTGTAACTTACATAAATTTTAAATACATGCTCAGTACTTAAGTAATAGAGGTTTATCCTTGAATATTAGTGATGTATAAATCATGGACAAAAGTAATACTATATATATAGTTATTATGCATATTCCATAGTCACTATACAATAGAGTTGAACACAACATTGATCACTAAAGTATAAAAAGTCGCATTTCATTCACCATCTTCGGTTTTCATGTACTTCTATCACTACAAAAAAAGGACGGGATTGGCAAGGATTTTTTGCAGGGATTTTGGCAGGGATATGCCAAATCTGTGTCAAAAACAGTTTGGCACGAGCTATTTGGCACAAAATTATCGGTAAATCTGTGTCAAATCCGTGTCAATCCCGTAATTTTTTTTGTAGTGTATGTTTCAAATTTTTCCTGTTCAGTTTTCCATCCAAGTACCTTTCCATCCAAGTACCTTTTAATAACATGTCAAATATTTATAACTTTTAAAAGTATTTCAAAAAGCATTATAACATTGCCAATTACTTTATTAACAAACTAATTTATTTATACACAGGTTGCATTACAATAGAAGAATTGGCAACAGTGATCAGATCTTTGGATCATAACCCTTCTGATGAAGAACTTCAGGATATGATCGATGAAGTGGATACCAATGGAAATGGAACCATCGAATTTCCCGAATTTCTTAATCTCATGGCCAAGAAAATTAAGGTATTTTTAAAATCAAAATGTCCCTAATCGAGAAATTACCCAAATTTCATAATTGACTTAGTGACCCCTGGACTTATTTAAATGTTATTTTGCACTGTGTTTCTTCCCAAACCAACCAGGAAACTGATGAAGACGAGGAGATAAAAGAAGCATTCAAGGTGTTTGATAAGGACCAAAATGGTTATATCTCTGCCAGTGAGGTTAGTTGATTAATTAGAAGCAATATATATTTTTACTAAAGGTTTTTTAATAGATAGATCCTTCGGGGATCCGAAGTATATTTCCTATAAAATAATTACATATATTTATCATTAAAATAAATTTTGTTTACAAAATTTTGACTTCTTAAAATTATACTATGATAACTTTGTTTGAACGAAGTACTATAGTAACTTAAAATTATATTTTTGTAAATAAATATCATTTCATTTTAAGGAAAACTCACTTTCTATTTACTATATTAATGTGTGGTTGATAAGGTTAATAAGAAGTCAAACACGAAAGTCGTCTTTCCTACCTATCTCTTTGACTTATCAACCGGTTAAACTATATATCGTTCTTAAATTAATACAACAGTCAACATGTCGCATTTGTCGAGACACAACTTTGACCATTAATATATACTCCATCCATTCCTATTAAAACTTCCAACTTTCTTTTTTCGTCCGTTCCAATTAAAACTTCCAATTTCCTTTTTAGTAAAGAATTTGTGGTTCACAACATTTCTTACACATTTCTCTCTCATATGTACAACTCTCCACCACACAATACTCACTATCTTAAATTGTGTGCCAAACCTATTTGGAAGATAAAATAGGAACGGAGGGAGTATTAATTAGATTAATAAAAAAAATCAACAAATTAGATTTTGAAAATTTTCTTGAGACAAATTTTACAATATTTTTTTCATAAAAAAATATGAATACATTAATAAATAAAACGTAGTCAAAGTACAACATGTGAATAGTGTAAAATTCAACATGATGCATTTATTTAAGAACGGAGGTAGTACTTAGGAAACAATATTCTATTTAATGGATTACAAAATGCGATGGGTAAGCTAAACCACATGTCATTTCCGTTAATTATCATAAAATGAATAATTATTAAATGAGCTTTAAGCGTGTATATATGTTTCTATTCAACCAGCTTGTTCATTCATTTTAGCCACAAGTCATAATAATGTAGCTGAAAGTTGTTTAATGCACTAAGACTTACAGACAAATGTACACCTATATAAAACGGGCTCCAAGTATTTAATTCATTAATTACATTTAATTTAGAACGTTAGTCAATCCATTCTTTTTTAGTTAATAATGAAAATGAAACAGTTAAAAAATAAAATGTAATCTTAGCTTCCAAAGTTCATCTATGCATCAAGCATGGTTGTGTATCCTTTTTGGTTGTTTAATTATTCGTAACGAAATAAAAAAGAATATGTTAACTGTTTATTTATCTGTGATTTTTTCCGTTAAAGTAACTAATCTTTTGAATTAACAAAACAAGAAATTTTGTTATTAGAACAAAACAAGCAATATTCTTGAAACTATATTTATATTTCGATCGTTAAATGAAACTTTTTTATTGCATGCATGCAGTTGAGGCACACGATGATAAATCTTGGAGAAAAACTTACTGAGGAAGAAGTTGAAGAAATGATAAGAGAAGCTGATTTGGACGGTGATGGTCAAGTAAACTATGATGAATTTGTCACCATGATGATGCATATTGGGTAGAGGCCAATATTCCATCATATGATAGTTTCAAGAGTAAATTCCCTAAATAGGAGTAAAAAAGTTTTGAAATTCCAAAATAGGACTATCATATTTTTTATTCTCTAAATAGGAGTACATTTCTGTCAAGTTTGGCATTACTGGGCTTTTTAACATGACATTTTTTTCCAAGGAATAAAAACATGATACTCCTATTTTGGAATTTAAAAGCGTTTTTACTCCTATTTAGGGCAATTTCTATAGTTTCAATAATTCCATTCCTTATATTATACGAGTAGTTTTAATTTTATCAAATACTACTTGTTAAATTAATGTTAATTTCGTTACAATTTTAATTTCTGATTATGTAATGTAGTTCTCAATATACATTGTAATTTTTTATTTGAGTTATGTACACTGTTATATCTAACGTCTCACCCCTCTGATCTTTTATAAAAATTTATTACTTCCTCAGCTCCGTCACAGATACAATGTTCATCAAGTTAATGCATCTTTAAAAATGTTGTGGAGAGTATTACGAATTAAATTTTAGATACTTATAAATGTTGTGGAGAGTGTTACGAATTAATAGAAACATTATATATATATATATATATATATATATATAATATTAAACTACTACACATTAAAAGTAAGTTTAATTAACTATATGAATTACAACTACTAGTGTATAAAAAGACTTTTTTAGGGAAATACATAAGCTTTATAACCTTTATTAAGTACAGACAGGCAAATTACAATCAGCTCTAAGGGTTTTTATAGGGGTGTATAAAAAGCCTTGAATATTGTTAATTACTTCCTAGTTTTCTCTTAGTCTTTTTTTACACTTTTTCCAATACGATTCATTAGCCCTAGAGAACTACTTTGAACTTAAAATTGGCTTAGTAACACTAAGATCTACTCAGTATTTGCTAAAACTGAAATTGATTGAATCAATTGAAACAATTGAATTTGTTAATAATGATAAAATTTTGGCTGAAACAGCTGAATCTACTAATTAGTTATGTAACAAAATTATTTAAAATAATTTTTTAATAAAATAAAGAAAAAGTAACTCTGGCCTTACCTATTTGTATGAACAAATAGCTAAACTACTCTTCTACGGTAAATTCATCCAATTCAACCAAAAAAGATAACTCGGACCTTGTTGTGATTATTACACAACTCAGACGCAAAATCAAAATTTACGTGTTGATAAAAAAAATTGTTTAATGAGATTGATAAACTGAAAAAATGATGGTTCCCAAATGGACTCTAAAATTGGCTTAATTGGATTAATCTGAAAAAAATGATGAAATTCTAGCTAAAACGATTGAATTGATTGAATTTGCTAAATTATGATAAAATTATATTTAAAATATATTTTATTAATAAATTAATGAATAACATATGTAGTATATGAAAACAGTTAAAATACTTCTATGTAGTAACTTCCGTCAATCAATCAAAAAATTTAATTTCATCTTTATTTGATTTTTATCAACTTAACACGAAAAATTAAAAGTGATGTGTTTGATATATTAAATGATTGTTAAGAATGATAAAGCGAAAATATACAATGACTTTAAGAAAACCAACAAAATATATCATTAATGTCTCCGTGAAGGCTTTGGAAAAACTGAAAATGGACAGTCAAACTGACCGTGTTGGCTTCATGTTTTTAATTGGAAGTACATATTCCGTATTAATAAATTAATTTAAAAGCGGAGAGATCGTGACCTCCAAAGTCCAAAATACGGAGTATTCAATTCCACCAGAAATGAAGACAAGACCTCTGAGTCAGAATCGTGCTGTACTTCTTTCTGTAACAAGCTGTACGGTTTATGTTTCTATAAAAAAATGATACCCATCCTCAAGTTCCCCCAACAACGATCGGATGGTACGTTAAATTGGACTATAATCATAATCTGACAGATAGAAAGTGAGACTCTGTCCTCGATACTTGCAGAGGGTCTATGTATTTTTTAGCATAATAACCTCTCATCGCAGTTGCCGATATTCGAACCCGAGACCTAACCTTTGTGACATTCCCTCGCTACCGGTTGAGTTACGCCCAACGGTATGTTTCTATTTAAAATCTATTGAGCTTGCTCTACTTCACATCTAAAAATAGTTGAAGAAGGAATAATCTTTGACAAATTAAAGCACACGCCCAAGCTTCGAAAGTTGGAGAAGGAACCCGCACGGATAGCTCAGTTAGTTCAGTGGTGGGATTTGGACCAAGTGACCAAGGTTCGAAACACGCAACGGCCGTGTGGAGATCACAGAACCTGAAATAAGGTTGGGCCTCTAGTGCGCACGGAAAAAGGTCTATCATCATTGGACCGACTGAGTCACCGTGATTAACGTCCTCCCAAAAATCCTGTCGGGTCGGAGTATGGAGGACTCCTGGGGTGGGAGATTCCACCTTTTGGACCAAAGTTGGAGAAGGAATTGAAAAAACTGAGAATAATCTTGATAATCCAGATTTGATATTTCATACCACTGTTGTTTTCTAAACAATCCTGGATCGAGGGGGGTTGGGACTAATGATTTGAATTATTCGTCGCGAGCCGAGATAACAGGTTTTAGCAGTTTAACATGAGTAACTTTTGTATTAACATGAGTAAATTAAAAAAGCAAACGATTAATGATATCCAAAAAGTCACAGGCTTAAATTCAGAACATGCTTGTTTTTGTTGTCCTAGTTAGATAAAAACACAATAGAAGATTAGAAGTATAGGAGAAGTCAAAATTAGCCAGTTTTACCACCTCATAATTATCACAAAATGAAATTTGATATGGAAAACCGAAAAAGAACAATGAAAGTATTTGATAGAGTATAAACTCCTAGAGAGAAGGGGATGCTAGAGAGAGAAGTGATATGTGTTATTAATGAATTGTGAGTCTCGTCCTTTACAATGAAGAGTTGGGCTGCTATTTATAGCAGTTATAAATGATTGATGAAACTATTGCGGGTACACGTGTCAAATAACCAACGGTGGCGAGTTGATTCAGTCGGGGTGGCACTGGCATAACATGTGGCCACAGTTAATGCGGTGGTTGATAGCATGTGGCCGCAGTTAATGCGGTGGTTGGATGTGACATCGCATTTAATGCGGCGATTCAGACCATGTGGAGATGAGATCTTGTCGAGGAGAGTGTCGAAGGCCGTAAGTACCCAGGGGCCATTTGGGCCTTGCTGCCGTGGTGGGGATACCGCCATGTTTTGGAGGCCGTACGAACCCCGGAGGACTTTAATGTGCTGGAGGACGTACGTCCTCTGGAGCCTTCATGTGATGGAGGACGTACGTCCCCGAGGCCTTCCACGTGTTGGAGGACGTACGTCCTCTGGGGCTTCATGTGCTGGAGGACGAACGTCACATGGAGGCTTCCTTGTGCTGGAGGACGAACATTTCCTGGGGGCTTCATGTGCTGGAGGACGTACGTTCCCTGGGGCTTTCATGTGCTGGAGGACGAACATCGCCTAGGGCTTCATGTGCTGGAGGACGTACGTCCCCTGGAGGCTTCCATGTGCCAGAGACGTACGTTCCCTGGGGGCTTCATGTATACATCAGAGACGTACGTCCCCTGGGCGCATACATACATAGCTAAAAGAAGATTAAGTAGTACCATTGCTGAAACATTAAATGAATTGCAAAGAACTACTAGTCTCTATTATTTACCTCAAGAATAACATTGTAGCATTCATCCACCACCTCCTTGTTGATTTTCAGTATAGTAATGAGTTCATTATGGTATTCAGCAGCATTGTTAACTTCAATCTCTTCAAATGCAATTGACATTGTTGCAGTAGCAATAACAGATGGAAGATAATGCAATAGCCTAGAATCAGTAATTATAGAGAGAATGATACCTTCACAACACCTAAGAAATTCACAATGCAGGTTGTCTTTAAATCCAAATCTCCTAATGATATGGTCAAAGAAAGAGATGGGTGTGACAGATTCATCCTCCAATTAAGAGTAGAGAGCACCAGAAGTTCCATTCTCTGAATAGTCTTCGCATCAAACATATACTTCGAATCTGTAACTTGGAAGTCTAATAAAAGAGGCACATCAATCTCCTCTACTTTTGCAGCTATAGAAAGACAAGCCACAGCCGTAAGCTGACTCATCCATGGCTTATCCTTCTGGAAGGAAACACCACATATGAGCCTATCGAAGTAATTCACAGCCAAGACAGCAGTTAAAGTGTTGAATCCGTAGTGTCCAATGACATTAAACATCCAGCCCAGAGCTTCATTTCTAGCCACCATTAAAGGTCCATCAACATCAAGAGTCCCAGACCCCAAAAAATGGCTCCCTTTCTTTCGACAAAAGAGCCATCATAATTTTTTTGAAACTGAAATGTGCTCAATCAAGTCGTTTATTAGTGTGATGTGTATATTCTTCTCACGGATTCGGGCTCTATTATCCATGTATGTTGGTAATCTTGATGGTTGAACGCCAAAGCCGCAAAAGTATTAGTGTGTTAAGCTATCAAGAGACACTAGGCTTTCATCATTGTTATGCTCAATTCCTTGTTCCCTATTATCCTCTACAATCATGTTGTGCATAACAATACAAGCCATCATAATTTTTTTGAAAAGGATTCAGATCTTGTGGAAAATAGTTTATTTTTTGGAGTAAACATGAGTCCATTATTTAATGGACCAGTAGCATGAGAATATGTACAGAATTAGAATTATTTTGCAATAACTGCATAGCCATTCAAAAATTCGGATGAGCAGGATCAATTTGAAAATTTCTTACGGAAGATTGTTGTGCAGAATGAGGAATTCTTTGGAATGGGGGGCCTTTGGTGTAGTATCTAGGGAGAGAACGGTTTGGATCCATTTTCAAGGAGAAAAATATTCTAAAACAGATAAAATCATATGAAAGAGTTAAAAAAAGTGGTAAATTTCGAAATGACTAAACATATCCTTCATTTGTGTCTATTTATAGAAGGAAAAAATCTGATTTTTGGTATAATTTTTTTGTAAAAGAAATTAATTTAATGCATAAAATATCAAATTAAAGAGTTGGTGGGTTTTGTGGCTAGAAATTTGGGAGGAAAATCCTCTTGGCCGACACTCCCATTCATTTGCTCCACCCACTTGGCTAGATTAAAATAAAATGTGAGATCTCATTTTGACCCATCTTAATCCATCACATGGTGATCTTCCATAATGAGGGTCAACCCCCACCACTTTTGTTTTTTAATCTAACTTGACCCTCCATTGTGCATGCTCTAATGCTTTACTAAATTGGATTTGTTCAAAACCCCTTGCATTCGCACATGTGCTTCACTTTTTATTGTGATATTTAACTTGGATTGCTAAATGTATGTTTGGTGTTTGATGAAAAACATGTGAGAACTTAGATCTACATCTCACTAAGTCACTAGTTCTCTCTTCTCTTATTTGATACGTATTTAATCGTTAAATTCGTTAACGAAACAAATAATATAATGTTTCTTTTGCTTAAAATTAAAGATTGATATTTTGCAGGAAAGATTACCATCATCAACTGGTATGGAGAACGACAATGATGTCTCTTTGGACAGGCACACTAACACTGGAGTCAGTACGGGTGACATACCGAGATGAAATGATAAAGCAAAGCCAAATAATATAACGGATAAATATAATCATCTAAAATGATAGATTGAATTTTATATTTATTGTGATACTATTGCGTATTATTTTTTGTTTCCTTTTGTTTTATCACATGTATTACAATTTGTTGCATCGTGTTGTATTTTGTTGCATCTTGTAAGTTTTTGTTGCACCGTATTTCTTATTATTGATGATTGTTTATTCAGTTTTTTGTTATTTATTTAGATTTCTATTTATTTTTCTACATCCTTAAAATATAAATCTCTATATAGACAATACAAACAAACACGAAAAATGTTAAATACAATTAATGAATATGAACCACAGGAAGAAACAATAAAAAACAATAATATCAAATTTATCAACAAAAATAAAACAATACGAAACAAAAACTAACATCAAAATGCTAATGATAATTATTAAATTTTGTAACCTTTTGAAAAGCATTAGTTCAAAAAAATCAACCTTTTTAATTTTTTCAAAAAAATTCAGGTTTAATTACTTACATTTTATTATCATTTTTCATATTTTTATTTCCGATTTTTTCAATTTTACACGTTTTATAATTTAATTTATTTCCATTGTTCAGAGTTTATTTTATAATTTTATATTTTTAAATTTATATAATTTATATGAGTTTTTCAAATTTAAACATTTGTTTAAATTTCATATCATAGGTTTTTATTTTTTATTTTTATTTTTTCAGTTTTTAAAAGTTTATACTTTTCATAAAAAATTGAAAGGCCTTCCATCTTTTTATAGTTTTAAAACATTTTTTTTTATTTTACATAATTTTTCTATAATTTTTAGGTGTTTAGGTTTTTTTAAATTTCACACGCTTTTGAGCTTACATTGATTTTCTTGTTTTTAGTTTTTAAGAATTATATTTTCTATCTATATTTTACTTTAAATATTTAATTTGAAATTTTAGAATATTTTGGATTTATGTATTTATTTGAATTTTATAGAATTTTTATTTTGCATATATTCCAAATTTTAAAAAGTATCCTTTATCAGTTCCAGACCTTTATTTACTTTGCATATATTCCCAATTTTTCACAAATTTTCTAATTACGTTTCATATTTTTAATAGTTTTAGAACATTTGTATATTATTTTACATTTCATAGTTGTTTTTAAAATCTAACTTATAGGTTCAATTGACATTTTTGTTACGACTTTTTTTGAATTTTTTATTTTTACTATGAATTTTTCTTTAGTTTTTTAATTAGTTTTGTTTTTAAGACTGGTATGTTCTTTCCGATTATTCATAATCTTTTGACGTTTAATAAATATATTTGCATTTTATTCTATTAAAAAATAAAAATAAAAAAGAATAATTCCAAGACCTTTATGAGTTCAAGTTGTTCAAGTGTTCAACAACTAGGCCACTGCGGAGTAGAGATACGTAGTTCATCAATTATGGAGCACAGATATGGAACTTAGCTGCTTCAGAAGGAGTACAGACACACGATCAATAACAATACTCAGTGTGAATGAATAGGATTATTAATTTATTATCTAAATATATCTTCAACTATCATCAAATTCACAAATCTATGTCATACTTTCATTTTTATTAAAGAGGACTCAAACTTCAATTTTTCTCACGGTTACACTTTCAATGAATGAATTAGTAAAACTTAAAAAGAAAATCACAATAATATTTCATATTTTTTCACTTCTTTCTAGTTTTAAGTTTACAAACTTGTATTGCTTATATCTTATTAGTATTCATAAAAATGTGTGATTTTGAAAGTACAAAAAAAAAGCACAATTGTTGAAAAGGATGAACTTTGAGTCTTTTTCTTATAAAAGTGAAAAAAAGGATAGATTTATGAATTTGATGATAGTTTGAGATAAAATAAGCTAATAATCGGAATGAATATTATAAGTGCAATATTTTGGGGGCAACATCTATTATAAGTCAACTTTGTTACTTGTACTCATTCTTATGTTCACCCTTATACCCACTATAATGTGAGAAGGCTGATTTTTTTTTGTCAATCAATTTGGAAATTTACTCAATCAATTCTTTTTTAGTTAATAATGAAAATGAAACAATGAAAAAATAAAATGTACACTTTTTTAACCCCGGGAGGTCGAGGTCTGGGGGAGCCTGCTGGGGTAATAACGGTTGAAAATCTCTCCATGAAGTTTCGAACTTGAATCCTCCTATATCGGAGAGTGAGTCAGCGATCAGTTGAGTTGGACCGTTTTCTCATAAACGTATACTTAGCTTCCAAAGCATTTATGTGTGGTTGTGTATGCTTTTCGGTTGTTCATTTGTAACGAAATAAAAAGAACATGTTAACTGTTTATTCATCTATGATTTTTTCCGTTAAAGTATCTAATCTTTTGAATTATCATAACAAGCAATATTTTTTTACTAGAACAAAACAAGCAATGTCATGAAATTACATACTATCTATATATTTCGTTAAATAAAACTTTTTTACTGCTAGCAGTTGGGGCAGGCAGTAAACTTACCGAGGAAGAAGTTGAAGAAATGATAAGAGAGGCCATGCATATGAGAGTTTTAAGAACTCCATTCATTATATTATACGAGTAGTTTTAAATTTTATCATTTACTACTTGTTAAATTAAAGTTAATTTCGTAACAATTTTAATTTCCCATTATGTAATGTAGTTCTCAATATACATTGTACGAAGTAATATTTTACTTGAGTTATGTGCGCTACTGTATCTAACGTCTCACCCCTCGTTTATAAAAGTTTAATGCATCTTTGAAAATGTTGCGGAGAGTGTTACGGTTTTAGATATTTATAAACTACAAGTTTTATTAAATGGCAAAAGCAGAATATGAATATGAAACCTTTTTTGTATATAAACTTATAAAAGTACTATACATTAAAAAGAAGTTTATGTAACTATATGAATTGCAACTGTAAAGATTAATGTGTGACTAGGCATGGTCTCGGGCGGGCTTCAAGACTTGGGAATGCAAACCCCGTACAGCCCAGTTTGTACCAGTACCGGTTCCGGTCCGGGCTACCCGGTCGGGCCTCTGTCAAGGCCCGGATCAGGTCAGACATATTTTTTTAAAGGATTTTTTTTGAATTTGTAACCGTTAGGCCAAACCTGGCCAGGCCAGTCCACCAAAATCAGAGCCTAAAATTCCGTCGATTCAAATACCCAGTCAATACACGTCCCGGTCAACTGGGCCCGGACCGCTACAAACATTATCAGGTCCAGGTTGGGCCCAGGTCAAGTCGACCCGTCTCACTCCATCCCTATTGACAATCCATTTATTGACATCTACAAGACTACAACTACTAGTTTATAAAAAGACTTGAATATTGTTACTTCATAGTATTATGGATGGACTCGGGCCGGGTGGCCCGACCCGGAACCGGCCCGGGACCGGTACTGTTCCAGCCCGGCCCGACCCGATGGCCCGGTCAGTGACCGGTCCGGGGTAGGCCCGGCCCGTGGGTTTTCCGGTTCGGGCTCGGGTCACCCAAAACAAGGCCCGACCCGGCCGGGCCCGAGCCCGGTTCGGGCCAAAAACTATTTTTTTTCAATTTTTTTTAAATTTTCGAGTTGGGCTGGGTATTTTGGGCCATTTGGGGTGGTTTGGGGGGTTGGGGGTGGGAGGGGGGTTAATTAGGAAGAGGAAAACAAAATATATATATATAATGGGCCCGGACCGGACCCGGTGGTTACCCAGGCCGGTCCCGGGTCCACCATTTCTGACCCGCCGGCCCGCCCGGGCCTAGGCCCGACCCGGACCCGGCCCGGACCCGAGTCCATCCATACATAGTATTCTTTACTGTCCTTTTTAACTTTTTCGAATACTATTTATTGAATTGATTGAATCAGTTCATATTGATGAAATTTTGATTTTATGAAACAAAATTATTTAAAATAGATTTTATTTTATTGATAAAACAAAATTTTCTATCATTCGCAATGGAGCCAAAGATTCACTATTTTTTTACTTGAGAATATGATGAAATAAAACAAAATGGCTCACTAGACTATTTGCGCTTCTTTATTGTGAAGCTGCAATCAGCCCATGTATTGTTCGACGTGATTTTCAATATGGGTCATTGGAAACAATTTCTTTGTGCTTTAGTATCAGGTAAGACTGCATACATCACTCTTACCTCATCGTAGGTGGGAGCCTTTGCGACACTAGGGTAATGATGATGAATAAAATAAAAAATATATATATGAACAAATAGCTAAACTGATCTTCTACAAAGTACGATAACTTCATCCAATTCAACCAAAAAAAAACTTTAACCTTCTTTGCTTTGATTATTACACAATTCAGGTGCAAAATCGAGAGTTATGTGTTTGGAAGTAGATAAGACTTAAGAGTAATAAAAAAGGAAATTTACCGAAGAAAGAGTAAAAAAGTTTCAAATTTTCAAAATAAGACTATCATGCTTTATTACCGAAATAGGAGTAATTACTGCAAATTTAGAAAATACTGTCATGTTTAAAGTCTGATACTGCCAAAACATGACATTAATTAGTCATATACTCCTATTTTGAGAATAGAAACATGATAGTCTTATTTAGGGTAATTTCTCTAGTAAAAATGATAAAAGCAAAGAGACTATGGATGGCCTCCAAACTCCAAAATATTCAATTCCAACATCAAAAATGAAAACATGACCTCTGAATCAGAACCGTGCTGTATTTCTTTATGTAACAAGCTCTAGGGTTTCTCTTTCTATTTAAAATCAATGAAGCTTGCTCGACTTCACAACTAAAAATAGTTGGAGAAATCGATGGGCGTAGCTCAACTGGTAGCAAGGGAGTGCCACAGAGGTTAAGTCTCGGGTTCGAATCCCGGCAACTGTGATGAGATGTTAACATGCTAAAAATGCATAGAGCCTCTGCAAGTACCGAGAACAGAACTTCTCTTTATCTGTCAGATTGTGATTATAATCCAATTTACATCCTCCCAACGTACCATCCGGTCAGTGTTGGCGGGCCCTCAGGGATGAGGTGTCATCTTCTTTTAATAGTTGGAGAAGGAATAATCTTCGACAAATTAAAGCACACCCACAAATTTGAGAATAATCTTCAATAATCCAAATTTTATATTTCATTACCAGCTTTTTTTCTAAACATTTTCAAAATAAACTCTGATGGAGGGGGTTTGGAACTAATGATTTGAATTATTTCACGAGCCCACATAACAGGTTTTAGCAATTTAATTCCATAAAACTTTTGTATCAATCAAACAAGGGAGAACTACCAAATAAGCCTTCGAACTTTCATAAAAAGTGCAAATAAGCCCTTTTATAGGAGGCTATGTCCAGCTGTCATTATTTGTGGCGGTTTCCGATGGAATTTTTTGATGAAATTTTTGGAGTATCTTCTTCTAAGTCTAATTTACTCACCAAATTTCACCTAAAAATTAAATCGGTAAGGCAGTCAAATGAAATTCTGAAGATAACTGCGCAGCTAGGCAGCACAGTATATTTCAAAAAATCATCTGACTGCCCTCTCGATTGAATTTTTAGCTGAAATTTGATGAGTAAACTAGACTTAATGAAGAAGATGCTCAAAAAAATCATCAAAAAATTCCATCGGAAACCGCCTCAAATGGCGACAGGCGTACAAAGCCTCCTGTAAAAGGGCTTATTTGCACTTTTTATCAAAGTTCGAGAGCTTATTTGATAGTTCTCCCATCAAACAATAGTAAAAGTGTAAAACCATTGCTTTACCATTACTAACATGAGTAAATTAAGAAGGCATATGATTAATGATATCCAAAAGTCACAAGCTTAAATTCATAACACACTTGTTTTTGTTGTCCTGGTTAGAAAAAATCACAATAGAAGAATCCAAAATTAGCCATTTGTACCAGCTCATAATTATCACAAAATGAAATTCGATATGGAAAATGAACAATGACAAAAAATCTGAAATGACCTGTTCATGTAAAAAAAGTCATGTTGCTGGAGATCGATCTGCGAGGAAAAGAAGAATCCAAGAGATAGTAATGAAAATGGAGAAATATTACAAATATAGGACCAAAACAAATTATCTTCTCAGTTCTCACCTGAAGGAGATTATGAGAAAGAAGCTGAATCCTCTCACCATGAGCCCCAAAGAGAGTGCAATTATGGAGTATGCTTCTGTTAAAACGAAATTAATGTATTAACAGGTCATAATTCAATCGTTAAAAAAACTGAACATATTGACTACCCCCTTTAGAAAAGGATTTCATGCGAGTATTAGCAAAAACAATTAGACAAGAAACAAAAGAAGAACTAGAAAACCCACCAATATATGAAGGATTATAAAACCATTTGAACACAAATGAAGGCAATTTCTTATATTCACTTGGAAGAATAAAAAGGATAGGAGCTTATCAAACAAATTCAACAAGCACACATGATAAGTACAACAAATATATCACCTTACCAAACAAGATCAAGAAGCTGACATTATAAGTTCAACAAAACATCTCAGTCTAAAGTTATCTATTCAAAATCAACTAGACTACTTGTTTTCTTTTTGTTGAAACCAAATACTCAAATAAGTAAGACATCTCATTAATCTAAAATTACATGTATTAACGTAATTAGAAATTTTGTGTCTCATACAAGCCATAGAACTAAGATTATTCTTCTCCTAGAATTTACCAACTAAATCAATTAATTAATTACTACGTAATGAATAACTAGATAAAAGTCTTCAAACATAACATTCCAAACTTTACACCAATGATTAGTCTAAAGCACGTGCAACAGCTCTAAAGCAAACCCTCAGCAATTACCATTCCAAAAACTAAAACCTTGTTCAGCAGCTCGTTTTTAGGACACGAGCTACACCGAGTCACGTGAGGTTACATTTAGCCAAGGGGTGAGATTCAATGAAAGATGTGAGCCATGCCAAGCTATTTTAGGTACATTTAGCCAAGGTGTAAGGTTCAACGAAAGACGTGAGCCATGCCAATCCATTTTCGGTACATTTAGCCAAGTCATGAGGCTCAATGGGGAGGCATGCCTCACAGAATATATGTGCACATCATTCATAAGAGCATCTATTACTCGTACCTTTAGCCAAACATATAATTACAAAATCTTGGGATGAAATTGTCAATCACAGAGAATAAGCAGCAAACGAAGAAATAAGAAGATGAGGAAGAGGGTAACATAGTGATGTACATAGGTGCTGCTGCACCAGTGGTAAGAGGAGGAGAAGGAGAATTGAAAAGCCGATGAAGGTGAAGATGGAGAGTTGTTTCTTATTTGTGCCTCAGTGGGCAGTGTCCGCTCCGTAACTATGTTTAATCAATAGATAAACAAATCCAAACCCATAACCTGGCAGAGGAAAAGTCTAAACCTACTATGATAAAAACATAAGGCCACAAGGCGGGCAAGCAGCAGAGGCGAGTGCCTCAGGTAGCGCGGAGGTGGCATGATGCGAGTGCCTTCTGGAATCTGCAGCGCCCTGAGTTGTCGATGTAAAATTCCTGGTGCACCCTTGACTGCGCCTCAGGTGTGCTTTTTAAAACTAAGATCAGCAGAAACCTTTATACCAGCTAATTCAAGCAAAACTCCCCTGTTTAATTCCTTCCAGCCCTCACACAAAAAAAACCAAACCTAAATAGCATTACAGCTGAATAACGACACGAATCTGTCATTGAAAATTTATGACCAGCACACAATAAAACTAACTAACTAGAAATAACAACTATTGAACCAAATGATTGGGAATAAAAAAATAAAATAAAAAGTTCCATTCTACAGGAACACAAGGCAAATCTAATCTACACTAAAAGCCCGTTTGGTAACACTGAATTTGGCTGAATCGGCTGAATCTATTAAAATTAATGCACTTCTGTTTGAAATGGCTGAATTGGTTGAAGTAGATGAATTATGGGAAAATAATATTTAAAATATATTTTATTAATAAAATAAAGAAAGATGTATGAAAAAAAGTTAAAATGATCCTCTACCGTAACTTCAGTCAATTCAGCTAAAAAAGTAACTCCAACCTTACTTATTTTGATTTTTTTAAGAAACTTATTTTGATTATTAAATGATTTAGTGTGCATAATCAAAATTCAAAAGTTACATGCTTGTTAAAAAAGTTAGCTGATAAGTTGAAAATGTGGGTTACCAAATGGGCTCTAAAACCGTTTCATCTCTAACTTACACTCCCTATGAACAAATAACATAAGGAAGAAAAGGAATTCATTCAGCAAGACTGCTTGCACGAGTATCTGGCACCAAGCGTGCTATCAAGGCGACCAGAAATGAGAAGAAATGGGAGTGGAATACTGAAGATGGCAATGCAGAGGAGAGTGAAAGAGAAGAAAATGCAAACATAAGAATAGAATTCAGGGATTTAATAGGGATGTTGATTGTAGAGATGTCCTGATTTACATTTGTAAAGGGGTTAAAACTACTTTTATGGAACTTTCAATTTCTTTAAAATGTTTCCAACCCACCTCAAATTACTAATCTTCCTTCTAAGAAAGAACTGAGAAAATTCTGAATACATTACATTACCTATTTATTCATTCTAATTATTATGTGTTACCCGTAAATGCTATCACCCACCAGAACGACTAACAAAATGAAACACATAAATAATAAAATCGATGAAGATAATTTACACCATTCAAATTTTAGAAATCAGGATGTAACACACGAGACCTAAAAACAGCCAGTATTTTAGATGTTGAAGTCACTAGGTAAAAGAGTTGTACCATTTCCATGTCCTGTTTAAAATTTCAAAATTGACAGAACCAATATTTGTAACATGAATTATTTTTCAGTACTAGTATGTCATGCTTGTTAAAGAATTAAACACCAAGATCAGTTTAGAAAAACTATTTTTACAAGTATTACCTATTTAATGTGTCTAAAAAGTAGAATAAAAACATTAGGACAAATAATAATCTTTGAGTTCCAATACCCAGTAGTGTCACATGATTCTAAGTACTCTCCATTCTCCAAAACCCAAAATCTATTTAGAATAAATTCATTACCAAAAAAATCAAACACAAACTAAAAACAGGCATTACATGTTGAAGTTACTACAGAGCCAAGTTGCACCATTCCATGTCTAACTCATAACTTCAAATTTGATGTAATCACCACTACCTTTAGAAATAAAACATTTTGGAATGATAAGAAAAAAGAAACCAGAAAAATACCAGCTCAAACCAGTAGTACAACACAGTTCACTTGTTGAGGAAGATTGCAGTCGGAATGCCTGGTGACGGAGGATTTTGCGTCAAAAGCGAAGCATGAGATCCAGCCCTTTCAACATCACTTGGATTTGAGGAAGACAAAATCTCTATTGTTTCCAGCCCAAGTTGTCTTTCTATCAAGCCTGAGTTAGTCCTTAGAACCTCAATCTCGCCAAACGGAAGTCTTAGATCCAACGCCCCAACCCCTACTGTCATAACCTCGTCCTTCTTGAACCTAAGGAAAGGCATACATTTCATCTGTATTTTCTTGAAATCGCCCTTTTTTGCAACCTCACATTTCTGTAATTCTGAGAGGATTTCTTTATCAGGTGCAAAGGTGCGCGAAACAGTGTCAAATTTCCTCCTCAGTATGTTCAAACATTCCATTTTCCATCCATCATATTCCTCATTAACATATATCAAACCTAACATGGGTTTGTTTTTATGGATGGGGTTCGCATTTTTCTTTGAGCCGCCAGACACCTGCTTCTGCAGGAGCTTCCTCATTGATATGATCGAATCTTGCAAATAAGTGTTTGCCATTTTAAGTGTTAGGTTGGGCGATTCGGCTTTCGGCCATCCAGATTTCACGCAAAAACCGTCTTTCTTCAAAATCTCCTTCCATACATGCTCTGCGTAATGAGGGCAGATCGGAGCAATGAGCCGCGTTTGAACATCCATAAACCTCCATAACAGATCACGATTCATTCCCGCCGAACCGCACGAAAGCCGGTATTCATCCCTAGCAGCTTGAAGATCATAGAAACCCGTCTTCAAAGCCTCCCTGAACAAATAATCACTGTAGCTCTTCTCCGTTGTTTTCACTGCAATGTTCATTTCATTGTCAAACACCTGATCAGCAAATGTGGGCGGTCCTGATCCACTTCTTCTCAAAGATGAATCTTCAACAGCAAGAACTTCCTTCATCCAAGCAATTTCTTTCGTAAGACGTAAGATTGCAGCATTGGCCGTCTCAAAGACAAAGTTTGCATCGTCCATTCCGTCGCCCGCATCGGCAAGGGAGAATCGTGTTGCGTCTGCTGAAAACTCTTTGATGGCCTCGCGGAGGGTCCGGAAGTTTCCGGTGGACTTTGACATTTTCTCAGAGTTGAGCATGATATGTCCGTTACACCTGAATCCGCGTGGCCAGTGGTGCTTAGGGAAGATGGCAGCGTGGTTATAGATACAAAAGGTGAGATGGTTTTGAATAAGATCTTTTCCAGAGACTCTGAGGTCAAATGGGTACCAATACTCAAATTCCCTCTTCATCTTCTCAAGGAGAGAAGATGATATACCACAGGGAGTAGGGTGTGCACCACCACAAAACAAGAAATCCCAAACTTCGTCCGTTAACTGCTCAGGTTTGACTGAGGAGTGGTCATTGCCATACATATCTCCTTTCTGCAAATGATGACATATAGTGTAATATGCCATATAAATGGTGGAATCGGACAAAGATTCAACCAAAAACTGTTCATCCCAAGGAATACGGGAACCAAGCCCAAAATTACGCGAACAAGCCCACTGGTTAAGCCAGCTTAATGTGTGCTCAAAACCATGACGGGTCTCATCGGAGTATAAACTCATATGGGTTAAGCACTCCTCAGCTTGATTCCTCCACTCGGGTTCACCATAAATGATATACCACTGATCAGTCAAAGCCACAACGCACTCATCCCCGGATCTTGAAACCACCTTTTTCTCAGGCTCACTGTACACAACGGCAAGATTCATTTCCAAAAGCTTTTTTCTGATCAGATTTTTAGCTTCTTGGACTCTCATTCCGGAAAACTCTCCTGCAATCATGGTCCCCTCATAAAACCCACCCTTGTAGATCAATTTCTTAGCCTCATCAAGCTTTTCTCGATCATTTTGACTTTTGATTTTTTTCTCAATGCAAATTCTCTCAGCTGACTTGTCCCCGAAATCTGGGTGGTTGATGATGGGGACTACCTCAAAGGGCAAGACCCATTCATCTTTGACGCCGAACTTGGCCCTGAAGGCTGGTTTAGACTTCAACTCATGAAGTGCCATGTAATCATCAGGTGAGTCACTAGGGACACTGGTCACTATACCTGTACCCTTTTCGGTAAGCACAGAGAGCATCGGGAGAGTGTATATGACCTCATTGAAGGCTAAAGGAGAACGAAGGGGCAAACCGATGAGATCTTGACCAGTGAACTCAGTCAAAAACGTTGGCTCCTCTGATTTGAGAGACAACCTTTGAAATGCTAAGTTTCGGGCAGCCCGATAGGTCAAGATGAAAACATCTGTATCATTGATCTCATAGGCACCGTACTTTCCATCCGGCAATACCCAAGCATTTGTTTGACCATACATCGTCTCTGGCCTTAATGTGGCCGCAGCAAGATAAACTTTTTTACCTGCTAGAACATTACCCATATTTGGCGAGAAAGGCGGAATAACCTCCATCTTGATAAGAGTGTATTCTTGAGGAATAACTCCTTCCCCAGAAGCCCGGTCGTGATCCGCACATGGCTGCCCATCTTTGGGAGAATAGATAGCGTATCTAAGATCTTTAACAATCTTTCCTAATGAAATCAATTTCCTCATTTGCCACCGAACGAAGGAATCGAAATACGGATTCATGTCAGTCGTGATGAACGAACGCCGCCAATCACAACCCAACCCAAATGACTTCAAGTCCTCCACGGCGAGAGGTGGGAAAAACAACAGCCAGTGATACGGATCAGTAAACTTAGCAATCTCCTCATCAGACAGACCATAACTCCTCATGATCTCCCACTGGAATTTAGTGGCACCTGTCTTGGAAATGGCTTTTGACTTCTTTCCTTTGAATTTTCCGCCCTCTCCCTTCACTTCTGACTCACCAATTTTTTCATCTTCTTCTTGTGGAAGAGGAAACTGTGGTGGATTTCCGAACATTTCCATCTCATTTAAAAGCTTATCTGAAGACGCTTTTATAGGCATCCCTGTGCAGTGAAACCCGAATGGTAAAAGCACATTATCGCCCCTCAATCTATGATAAGCGGCGGCAAACTCAAGTTTAGACAGAGAAAATGCATGCCCGAGATGGAGATATCCATTCATATACGGGAAAGGGAAGTTCCCAAAGAACTTCTCACCCGGCGAAGGAGGAGAATCTTTGGGGTCTGCTCTGAAAACGTCACCCTCTTCCCACATTTTCTGAACCTCTGACTCTATTTCCAAAAGCTTGTCCCTTCGAGCGTAACTTTTGCCACTTTCTTCTGCCATATTTTTTCCACCGGCAAACTCGCAGAAACTCCTAAATAACATCCATTAGAAAAATTTCACATAGGCTGAAACAGAGAAAATTGCTATTTAAGTCTATATGCTACGAATGGATAACTAATAATACGTATTATTAGACATACAGGCACACCATTAACCTGAAGTCCTGAATACATATGAAGATTAAAGAGAGAATAATCATGAAAGTTTTACATCCATATGTTGCGCAGGAGAACACAGGGTATAGGTTCAACACCTTATGCAGTTCATTCCAAGATAAATAAAACAAACAAAATGATGTTTTTACTTTTCAAAATATATGGTGATAAAAGTGAGGTTTAATCAACAAACCTAAGAACAGAGAGATTGGTTGAATGCTTTGGACGAAAATAGCACCTCAGGAGATGGTAAACCGCCACACTGAACAAGTACACCTGGAAAGTACATTCCTTAAGGATTAGTGTAAACATGAACACTCCATGTGTGTATAGTAGAACAAAGCTGAGTGACCCGTGCTTTTAAAGTAATTTTTTGAACACATATTACTATCAGCAAAAGAAAACGTGGAATGCAAGCTCCTTCCTTGGAGCTGACTGGCACCTCAGTTTATCGTGATAATTACAATTCCATTAAATACATTATATGGTTCATTTTGCTTATGTTGAAGTTAAAGTTTAATTTATTCAAGATAACCTTTTGAATTTTCTATATCTGAACTCTGAAGTCAAGCATAAAAATATGTCTTTCATTACATCTCTTGGATCTTCAAACTCAAGCAAAACATATTCACTACAAAATGAATTTGGATCAGATTTTCGTTTGCATTTTGAAAAAACTCTATTCTATAGTGATGTTCTTGTGCGTGTGTGTTCATTTCTTCCAAATACATGGTGAGCATATATCTTGATGTTTGGGTAAACTAAATTACATATATAACGATTACATTAGAGTATCATATTATATGTAAGAAGCAAAGTAAAAAAAGCGATTCTAGTAAAATTAAAACAGTTAAAATTAGAACTACCCTAAGAATCATAGCACAAAACTAGTAAATTCCCAAATTCAAAGTTTTCTTAAACCAAAGTCTTAATAAACTAGCTAATAAGCCAAAACAGCCGTCAAGACTCGATTTTAAAAGCTTCTAGTATTCTTCTTCAATCCCAACATACTAGAACTGAAGCACAAATTTGAACATTGAACGAATAGAAATGTGAGACTTTTGAAAAGAGAAATAGAAGCAGGCTTACAGAGCAGGATGGTAGACGATGGAGGATTTTCTGGAGGTCTGAAGCGAGACGGAAAACCGATAGAAGAAGGGCTGGGGTACAGGTCGCAGGCAAGACGGCAAACAGATGGGAGAAAGAGTAGGTTTTCCTTGTTTTAAAACATATGGGAGTAACATTTTTTAGTAACGATTACTACAAAGATCTAAAAAGAATTAACTTTCAGTGACCAAAAAGATCTTAAAAAGAAAACGTATTACTCCGTACATGTTTGATAAAAAGTTGATTGTTTTATTTAGTTCTTTTTGATATATAAGCTGTTAACACTAATTAATACTAGAAGATACTAACTTATCTGAGATGCTATCATGGGTAGCATCTCAAAAAGATCTTTTATTTATATAAAAGTTCTTAAAAATTGGCACGCCAAACATATAATTAGAAGCTTTTAAGAACTTATTAAATAACACAAAAGTTAGAAGATAGGGACTTATGCCTTCCAAACATAGCCTTAATATACATAGTACTAAGGAGTAGTTTTTTAAGGAGAAAATGTGCAAATAAGCCTTCGAATTAACCAAAAAAGTGCAAATCATCCCTTTTATAGGCGGCTCTGTCCAGCCATCTCCATTTGGGGCGGTTCTCAGTGGATTTTGTTTATGAATTGTTTTGAGCATCTTCTTCATTAAGTCTAGTTTACTCATATCAAATTTCAGCTAAAAATGCAATCAAGAAGGCAGACAAATAAATGTTTAAAGATAACTGTGCAGTATAATTCAGAAAATTATTTGACTTCCCTCCCGGTTGAATTTGTAGCTGAAATTTGCCATGGGTAAACTAGACTTAATGAAAAAATGCAAAAAAAAATCATCAAAAAATTCCATCGTGAACCACCCCAAATGATGACGGCCGGACGGAGCCTCCTATAAAAGGGGTGATTTACACTTTTTCGGTTAGTTCGAGAGCTTATTTGCCCCTTTTCCCAAAAAAAAGGCTCAAATATTATCACTAGAATTTTAATGGACAAAGATATGGCTCGTTTTTAATTGGACAAAAATGAGACTAGTCACCCACCCTCTTCTCCTTCGTTCGTTGCGCCTCTCCCACTCTCCCGTCACTGTGCCTCTCTCCAGGCCAACGGCCGTCGGCCCTTCACCTCCGCCTCCATTGCATCCACACCGCCAACGGTCCACCTTAATGTTTGTCGCATCCACGTCGCCGATTGCACAGGTTCGCCATTCTTTTCCTTTCTTTCTCTCTTCTCGTTTCTCCATGGATGGCGGTCGAACTGTTGAAAAACAAAACGATTATATTTGTAATATAAGAACAAAAGACTATAAATTATTTTTAATAAAACATTTACATATTTTGCATTGTTATATACAATGATAATTTATTAAATTGTTAATAATGAATCTACTAGATGTACATACGTACGGAGTAATCCATATTATAAAAAAGAGTTTGTGTTATATTTGAATGAGTATAATGCTTGATAGAAATGAGCATACACAAATGAATATTTGAAAATACTAGAGAACTTAAATGAGCTTTTTTATTTTTTCAATGCTCATTTTGTAAGTTACGTATGCTCGGTTTAAAATGTCATATCAATGTATGTTTCAAAAATATCATGTTATATTAGATTCACATGAAAGTTGATTGTAGACATGATAGTAGAGATCATGATGCTCAATTGCATGTTTCTAATGCTCAATAGAGGAGCTTTATTTTTCTAACAAAGCTTATTATTTTCATATCAATGATCATTTTGTTAGTTACGTATACTCAATTGGTACTCATGTTATGCTCATTTTTTAAATGTCATATCAATACAAATTTCAAAAGTATCATATTACATTAGATTTGTATGCTGAAGTTCATTTTTAGGCTTCTAATACTCATTGTGTATGCTCATTTGGTATCGATATTATGCTCATTTTTAAAAGGGAAAATGGAAACTAATAATTCAACCTTTTAGCGGTCTTTTTACAATAGTCCCACATTTTCATTATTCATGAATAATCCAACTTTTGCACTCCATCTTCATTCACTGGTCCCTGACCGATTTATGACCTGCTATTCCAAGTTATTTTCTCATCTTTGTAAGACATTAATGTGATCATAAGGTGGGAATTATGATATAATGTTTTACAAAGATCAGAAAATAACTTGGAATAACAGATCATAAATCGATCAGGGACCAGTGAATGAAGATGGGGTGCAAAGGTTGGATTATTCATGAATAATGAAAAGGTGGGACTATTGTAAGAAGACCACTAAAAGGTTGGATTATTAGTTTCCATTTTCCCTTTTTAAGGTAACATATCAATGCATATTTCAAAAGTATCATACTACATTAAATTCGCATATTGAAGTTTATAGAAGTTGATTATAGATATAATTTAATGAGTTTTTATAAAAGATAGAATAAGATAAAGAAAGTGAATTACAACATATGAAGTTGATATCACAATACTCATTATTCTACTCTTAATACTCAGTAAAATACGTCTGGTGCTCATTAACAGTGTATTAATGCTCATCTAACAAAACCCTTGATTTTTATTGAAATTACGAAAATGCCACTATTTTTTAGTTGTGATATCAACTTTCTCGTAATAACATGGTGCTTATTATTAGACTCTTAATACTCATTAAAATTGGACTATTGCTCATTAACAGTACATTAATGCTCAGATAGCAGAAACCGCGATTTTCACATTATATTACAAAAATGCCACCGACTGTACGGTGCTCACCATACGGCCGGTTGTACAGTGGACGGACTCAATTCTTAACCTCTATAACTAGTCTAGTGCGAGAGGAATAAATTAAGTGATTAGAAATTAGACTCAATTATGGCTGTATATAAATAGCTTGTTATGAAGATTGAGGTTTTCATATTAAGAGCTCGTTTGGTAACACTAAAATTGGCTAAATTGGCTGATTCTGCCGAAATTTATGAAATTATGGCTGAAGTGGCCGTATTGGCTAATTCTATTGATTCACGAAAAAATATATATTTGAAGTATTTGTTATTAACAAATTAAATAAAAAATTATATGAAAAATAACTAAAGCAATCATTTACAGTAACTTCAACCAATACAGCCAGAAAAGTAACTTCAGCTTATTACAAAATTCAGCGCGCAAAAAACTAGCTGATAAGTCTGATAAACCGAAAAAATGGGTCACCAAACGGGCTCTAATTGTTGAGAAGAAGAATGAAAGTCTCAATGTAAAAGTGAAAATCAAAGAGTCGGAGAATTAATGTTTTAGGACATCTAAGATTCAGGAGTAAAGAGTGGAAGTAGAAAAGTCGTGAATAGAAAGAGGTAAAGTTGCATATATGTATTGATGACAACTGGGTCGGGGGGATCAGGTTTTTTTAGATGCCGCACCTGACCCGTAATGCACGGGTTCTTAGAAAATTAATTCACAAATTTTGTAATGGGCTAAATGACCGACTGAAATCGATTGGGTAGGGTCAGAGCGGGCGGGTTTCAGGTTCGGGTTATTCATGTGCAGTCCTAAATTGTATATTCTGTCTTTGCAGAATATATAATAGTCGGTAGACAATTTCATCTTAGATTACTTTGTGTTTTGATAAATATTTTCCATTTTAATATTTTGTTCCTCTTCATATATTTTTCTCTAGTTTCCTTGAGCCTTTGAATTATCTATGGCGAAATCTTTCAAACTTCAAAAATTTAAATAGGATTGTATAAAAACTTCGGTTTGGTGAAATTAGGTTCACAATATATTGGGTGTTCAAGGGGCCCAACCCATTTTTACTTTTAATCATTTCTTTTTCTTATATACTCAATATAATCTCTTATAAAATTGCTTTGAACCAGAGATTAAAAACTACAATAAAGCACTAAAATTCAAGCTACAAAAAATAAGAGTTTTTTTTGTTCTTTTGCATTTTGCCACATTATTATGCATTTGTAATTTATTGTAATGATATTTTTCTATTTTGTACTTTTTCCTTGTTTTTTGTTTTTATTTATTTGATGGAGTATATTATCACATACTCTAAGGGTGTAGAGATACACATCCGTGACTGAGGTCCAAGTAACCTAATCATTGCTGAGCATCGAAGTCAGCATCGTACACTTGGCCAAACTCCCCGTCGGTGAACTTGTTCTATTTTGGATCGAGCCACACCAGCAAGTTCAATCATGATCGTCACTATTCAGAATTTACCAATGTTATCGCACGAGGCCGATGGGACCCGGTCTACCTCGGCTCAATTATAGTTGCTGCACTTAGCCACTTTCTGAACATTCAAGTGACACTCACCCAATGTTTACATCATAGCCTCTATCGCTGATATCATAACTCAATTCCCAAGAGCCGATATAATCACTCACATCACAATATGATTCTCAAGTGCTAACATTTTTGTTGAAATTACTATGTGTGCTCCACAAGCCTTACAAGGGACATTTCTAACTTTCCCATTAGCTAAAGTTTTTTGGATCTCTAACTCACACCTTGTATTTTGCCTATAAGCAACATCTTCCCAAATAAGGAAAAAGAACTTGAATGATTACTTGTACTATTGTTCTCGAAAAATTAATACACGTGCAACTTTCTCATTCTTGAAGTATTCACTCTTCTCTCTAATTTTCTACTATCTCGGGTTCCATAACCCATTTAGACAAATAGTGTAAGTTCTTATGTGTTTCTTGCATTCACAGCTCACGGTGCGAACACGTCATCTTAGATTGTGGTTCATGTTTTGCTATCTCTTATTTATTTAGTTATTTACTTATTTATTTACTTATTCATCTATGTATTTATTAATTAATTTATTTATTTGTTTGTTTGTTTGTCTTGTTTCTCATCACTCTATCTGTGTGACTTCTGTGATCATTGAAATTAATTGTAAAGGTTAACATCATATACAATATATTATTATTCATTCTTTTAAGCAAAAAGTACGAAAAATGATAAGGGACACAATTGTTTTTACAACTGAGATGTAATTGTTAACATATAAACTTATTTTATGCAAGTCTGTTTCATCACATTTTACATTATGATAAACGAATTTATTTTTTCATGGAACAAAACACAACATGAGAACAGAACAAACTTGGATGCGATTAGTTTAC